CCCGACACCCACCCACATGGAAATCACTCCCAACCCCCCCTCTAAGACCGTGTACGGACGACCGGAAGTCCGTATGTACGGCCCGTACGGGCAGCTGGGGGCCCGTACGTACGACCCGTATACGTACGGGCGACCACACAGCCCACCGGAGATTCAACTATCATGTGGTTCGCATGCCTTGTACTGTGAGGATTATGAAGGATAGTCCATGCGAGTTTTTGCTTCTATACCTACGATGACAGTCAGTACTGTACTCATGTACGACACCCCGACATGTCATGTATAATTTGTAGACAGGGGTTGGAACGACAATGCCTCTATAATTGCGGTCGACGTGCCTCTGTGTTGCTGGTATGTACGAGCCACGTAGCCTGTGACATCTGTCTGCGCCGTGCCATTCGATGCAACAACTGTGACTGCGAAAATTGGATGCGGTGCTTCCATAGCCCACACTCGAACTGGTCCTGTCCGGTCTGTAGGGGGGGTCACTCGCCGTAGTTTTTTTTTTTTTTTTTTTTATTGCTAGAGTACTCAATTTCAGCGGTGAATATGTAGAAATCTATAAAGCCCGTCATACACCTCTCCTCTGCTCCTTGCATGTCATACTCTATCCTGCCCTGAGCCCTCCACTTATTTCTTTCCTTCCCGTTGCCCCTACCTCCCTGCCCCATACCCCTATAGAACTCCGCCTTCTATCCCTTACCCTCCACCCTCCCCTCCACTCCCTTTGTACTACTAACAAATACATACTACTAACAAATACATATGAATGAGCATCATTAAGATAACAGACGATATGAAGATCAGAAATAAAATGAACGGAAGTATGAAGATGAAGGACAGACACAAGGACTATATAAGCTGAAGATATGAAGTGAAATGAACAGGAATATGAAGCTCTGAAGAGATGCACATGAGCATACCTTCCCTTTTACTCTGCCTCCTGAAATAACGTGCAAGTGGCCTGTGAAGGCACACGGGGATGTGGGCAGCTGCCGCTCAACCACAATCAACGTGGGCAAACTTGTGCGTAAGAGGCACAGTAAAAGGGGAGTTGCAAGAACAATGAAAGGGGTACCCGAAGGACAACCAAAAAATTGTCTTATTATAAAATTGCTTTAATTTGTTGAATATCTCAAATGTTCTCGTTGTCTGCAATAAGACAGACTGCTTTGATTCTGAATCTATTCACCTGGGTGGATTTGGAGCTGTTGTGGGGAAAACCTAAAACACACACACACACACACACACACACACACACACACACACACACACACACACACACACACACACTCTCTTTGTGCTACTAACAAATTGTCAAATACATACGAATGAGCACCGTCAAGAGAACAGACGATATGAAGATCAGAAATGAAATGAACGAAGGATGAAGATGAAGGACAGAGACGAAGATCAGAGATGAAATGAATGGAAGTATGAAGATGAAGGACAGACACAAAGACTAAGTATAAGTTGAAGATCTGAAGTGAAATGAACAAGAGTATGAAGGCCTGAAGAGAACTGCACAGGAGCATACCTTCCCTTTTACTCTGCCTCCTGAAATAACGTGCAAGTGGGCCGTGAAGGCACACGGGGATGTAGGCAGTTGCTGCTAAACCACAATCAACGTGGGCAGCCTTGTACGTAAGAGGCATAGTAAAAGAGGAGCTGCAAGAACAAATGGAAGGGGTACCCCAAGGACAACCAATAAACTGTCTAATTATAACATGGCTTTAATATGTTGGACTGTCTCAACTCAAATGCTCTCGTTTTCTACAATAGGACAAAGATTACTTTGATTCTGAATCTATTCATCTGGGTGAAATTGGGGCTGTTGTGGGGAAAATCTATAACACACACACACACACACACAAAGCTCTGTTGAGTGGCAAACAAAATAACGTTGTGAAATGATCAATAGATATGCAGGCAAATATGAGGTAAGGGGAAAAAAAGGCAGTAAAGGACATGACAGCTGACAGTCCTCTGCTGGGCTTGGCATGATGGGGAAACAAGTCATTTACAACACAGTCTGCATGCGTGGAAGGGGATCAGATAGTTGCATGTCGTGAGAAGCGTTACCAACAGAAAGTGTCTAAGAATATATAAGTTGATCAGAGCCCGAACAGTCATGTTGACTGCCTTGTTTGCAATACACAAATAGAATGTTGTGCTTGTCCAATGGAGTAAATTGGGGGATAAAGAAAACATGTGCAAATAAGACCAAACGGTTAAGAACACTCCAGAAACAAGCCCACGTGTTTGGTTTCTACTTAGTATACTACTATTTCTTACTACATCGTGCATGTTTCACATAAGCATTGCTAGGCCGTACTCTGGACAGTCCATTTGCGCGTCCGATAGTAAGTTTGCCAACCAGAAAAATGACAATTTTTCTCCCATGCACGTACAATATTTGGTTCACCAACCAGGAAAATAACAACTTTTCTCCCATGCATGCCCTGCTATCTCGACACCTGCTTTTGCTCTTTGAGAGTTGTTGGGATGTTTACGATGTCTGGGCATCGTCTTCGGTTCGCCTCCCTTTGTGTTCTATCCAGAGATGGTGTCCAGATCGCCCCTGGGCCCTGACACGTTATTGACTTCCACGAAGAATAATCTACTGTTATTATCGTTGTACGTAGGCGGAAGGTTGCCCCAAATGCAGCTATAGGGTGCCATCATGCCATGCTATTTTTCCCCTTCCTTCTCCCTTGTGTGTCAGTTTCCATGATCCCCTAAATGCTTTGTGAAAGGACTTCGTGGTGATGGATGTAAATGAGCGGTCGGGGGAGTTTTATGAGTGAATCAGACGAGGTCCCCCACATGAGTGGACTTTGGGAGATTCACTGTGTGGCTTGTTGTTATCAATCCCGAGCTTGAGAAAGACCTTATATAAGAACTTAATATGAGTAGCATTCCCCTGTTCTCCAAGAAAATTGATGATTGTTAGACTGCTTATCAACATTTGGTCATCGTCGTCACTAATCGCGTGTCTTTACTATACGAGGGGGACCCTCTGATTGGTGGCTGAAGGTACTCGAGCGAGGAAAATAACTCCACTGGGATAAAAAGCAAGACATATTGAATCCTGATTACTTCACCCTCTAACACCTGTCTGTGTGGTTCAAAGAACAGTTATCTATTTTAAATTGTATGTGTGATCTCAAATGCGCTAGTTCGACTGGGACGAGCAAGAACAGTAAACGTAATCAGAGAGTTTAACTTACTCTTTTGAAAAGGTTATGAAATGCCAGAGGCGTGGGAACGTGTAATCGTACAAATTTAAGACCACGCAAGCACACAAACATTCATACGGGCTTACATGTGTGAGATGACGCGAGTTCACAGCTACTCGTGCGATTATAAGGGCGCGCAACTTCACGAGTCTGTCGGCATGACGACTGCATGAGCCTATGGCCATGTAGGCCTACTGGCTTTTGTGACTGTGTTGGCCTTTAGGCGAGGTGACTGTAATAGTGTGTGTGCAGCGGTACTGGCCGATAAGTGCATAAATGAGTCTGGATACATGGCACTAGTTCGACTACGGGAGCCAACAAACGTTCGAGCGAACCTACGGGTGTGAGCCCAACGGGTCAGTCATTGGCCAAACCCTCCGTTCTGGGCGATCCTGAGAACGAATGAGTAATGAGTCGTCAGGGAAGGAAACGACGGTTGAGAAAGATAGTCTATTTAATTGCTAAGATTTTGCTCGACTAGGACTAATATTGATAGTGATTGATGTTCGAGCATGGTCCTCAAATTGGTTGACCTAACAAAACGACGATGTGGCGCTCGCCTGCCGCGTGATAATATGAACGAAGTCAGTAATAAAAGCGCAACCCCTGGCATAGTCTAGTTTTCCCGCCCGCTCAATCGAGTCAAACCGAGCGAGAGCTGGCATCGCCGCCTATAAGCGATTCTTCATTGTAAAGGGTTGGCTCCGTATTTTGAGCCTAAGCTGAAGAATGGAAATCGGACGCTAATGCCCATCCTTTTACTCCCTCAACTCCCAGCGGGTCATAGACTGCACCCAATAACCGCCAAACATTTGGGGTACTCTTGACGACTCAACCCGAGTTCATCATCATCATTGGACCATTATCGGCTACCAGACAGGTCAGTGACTGTTGAACAACTTTTGACAGGAACAACTAATAGACGGTCGGGGTAACTGCAAAATCAACCTTTGGCTTCACCGGCGGGAATCAACCAATTAATGCACACTCCAAAAACATTTGGATCGGTTTTCAATACTTTTGTGTACCTAGGAAATATAATTATCAACCTCAACATCTTCTCAGAACCGTAGGGGAGAGTCACTTTTATCTGTTGTTCTGTGAGACTCCTGAAGGGCATTGGTAGTTTACCCTACTTGTTGTTTGCATCTTCAAGAGTGAAGGGAATCATGACAGAAGATGAAGTCACTATGATGAAGTACAGATCCAACAGAGATAAGGAGGGATGGGTGGAAGAGACCTCTCAGGACATGGACTTACATGTGCAGACTCGGAGGGAGTGAACAGTTCAGATGGCTGGGGAAAATAAGTTTATTTAATATGTATTTTATTTCGATGACAGTAATGACAAGTTACACAACACTAGATCGTTACGAAAAACAGTTGAATAGGCAAAAGCAAAGCTCGGGTGAAGTGAACAATTCATTCTTTCTTTCTGAAAACACACTAGCAATATACTTGACAAGCAGCATACATCGCCCAAGTCCACTTTCCAGTTTTGACAGTCAGCAGCTTACAGATCAGCAAACGAATACTATACAATTTCATCATCCAAAGCATTGTTAGAGATATTTGGTCAAAGTTAACTGGAACGGTACTAGCTTCGGCACCACTCGACCAGCACAGTGACAGAGCATCCTCATTCAAAATTTCGTCATTACTATGTTCATTCCCAACCTTCCTGACACATGAGTGTCATCAGTTCATCCTCAATCCAGGAGACTATCCTAATAAGTTCCAATAGGATCGCTTCCAAAGATGCTTTCCGGTATCCGTATGTCAGTGCGGTGTGTTTCAGGTTGCGTGATCTGCCAGTTTTTGTGGGTCACACCAAGTTTGCAGGGGGTACCATCCATGACTTGAGAGTTTACTTGAAGAAGGGTAAGGAGTTGTTTGACTTAGTTTGGGCTTCGGAAGCGAGGTATCTTGAGGAGAAGGAAAGAACTCGATGAGAGTGGTACCAAACTAATTCGCAGCTTTGGACCCAACCTCTACTCCGACTACCCCAAGCCTCCAGTTCCCTCCACTCTTACGGATGGTTCTTGCTGGGGAGACTTGGTTGATCTAGCCAAAAGGTACATCTCTCCTACAGAGATCGACTACGAGGTAGTGACCGAACCGTTGGAGTTTCGATATTTCAGGCGAGGGATTTTCTCTCAGCCCTATTTTCCTACCCTGTCGGAGGAATTATGTGTTATGGTCGATTTCGATGTCATGGGTCTTGAATGAAAGTGTTCGAAGCTTGCAGACGTCAGGTGGTTCTACCAGAGGCTACAATCTCACAAAGTATGTGGACATGGCTCAAAGCATTGGAAACGCACAACAAAATGAGAGATTGAGTGCGTGACCCAGAGACAAGAGTAAAGAGTTATAACTAGTGTTGGCCTTGCCCTTTCGTTTGCATATTCTGAAACTATTATGGATTCTCATTTTTCCCTCATTTATCCTTATCATTGCTCGAGTAAGTCGGTCTTGCTTCACTTGCTTTAACTCTATTTGATGATCGTGTTCTGTGTCTTGCCACAGTTCTCAAAATTAGTAAATTAGCAAATTGATACATGCATGACACACTAGGATTTCATGATTATTATTTGCATGATCTTTGATTCTTTGTTGTTCCGAATCATAATAAAATATTTCTAAGACCGGAAGCCGGCGAAGACCACAATTGAAGGGTCTCGCTCGAAGTCGGACGCACACAACCGGAAGGGATTTGTGTTATTTAATTAATTTTATTTATTTATTTATTGCAATCTTCAACAAAATCTTGCATGACACTTTATTAGATTTCTAGTCGTCGGAATAGAAAAAATACGAAAAAAATGACCTCGTTGTTAGGACATGAGAAAGTTTCGTATCCGGAACGAGTTTGGGTCATCAACAATTTTAACCTTTGATTAGGGCTTAAGAACTGTTGACAATGTCAAATTCTCAAATTGGTTTTGTCATCCTGATTGAGTAATTTTTCCCTTTGAAATCTCAGTTGCTAATTGTGTCTTATGTTTTCATGTATGAGGTACCACACTAGATTGGAGAAGGAGGCTGACATTATTTATTGGAGAGGATCAGGCTTGATCAAAGGTATGTCTTGCTAACCCTGAATACTTTTGAGGAAACTGAAAGATAAGAAAACAAATCAGGTTTATGGATGTTGGTCCAGGATGCATAGATTGAACTGTCTAAACTTACTTCTAAAGAGATATTCCCCTATGAGTACGCACTTTGTTGGGTCTATGAGTCTGGTAGTTCGACCATCTGTGTAGTGTTGGCTCACTTCTTGGATGGAGACATCTATGATATCCGTCCTTACGTCAAGAAAGAAGGCTGCAATGATGATGAGGCCTTTAATTGGCGATGAGAAATTGTTGTTCAATCTATTTATAACAAGAAAGCAGAATTAAGCAAACAAAAGAAGAAAGCAAAGTGGGGACTAATGCAAGTAACCTATGAGACACCTTTTATTCCTCCTATTCCTAACGGCTCTTGTGATGGAAATAATTGACTGTGAATTATCAACATGGTACCGAGGAAAGATAAATAAAGAGACTGACATGAGAATAGAAAATTTTTTAGTAAGGGAAACTAGCAGTTGGACAACTATGGTGTATCTTGTATGGAAGGAGGAGAGGTCTTAACAAGAACATTGTCAGTAACAAGAATTTCATTTGTGAGAGACAGATTATGTAAAGTGACAAGGTTCGATAATCCCTTCATAATTTTGAGATGTGAGACTTGTGTAAGAGGCTGCAAGGCTGCATAACATTTCACATTCTAGTGGTAAAATTTTTGAATGCCGGCAAGTTGGACGCTATGTATCCCCGGCGGTCGCAGTCGCCGCGGGCATGACAGCGGCCACCGTGGTCGACCGCGGGCCCGCGGTCATGACCACGGCGGTCGCGGTTAAAAAGGGCTCGCCGCGGTCGCGGGGGAGGGGGTACTGGAAGTCGGGGTCGGGATTCCGGGGGCGCGAGCAAGGACAGACATACCCGCAAAGAAAAAAATGAAAAAAAGTTAAAAATTGGAGGGTCCAAATTGGGGCATGTTTAAGGGGGGGTTATAAAATAAGGGACCCCCTTTTTTTAATTTTGCCGGCGCAGGCTTGGGTTACGGGGGGTC